CTCACATAAAAAAATATTATTTTATCATTTTTAATTTATTAAAATATTTTATTAACTTAATTACAATACTTTAATTTAATTAGAATAATTTAGTTAATTAAAATTAGAACTTTTTCGGATTAATTGTATTGTTTTGTTTGTACTAGGTCACAATAAAAATTATTTCTAATGAATTTATTGCTTTTTAACAAATTTTAAAATACGCCAATAATTTGTTAATAATTTCTGCGATAAAGATACCGCACGGCAATGTAAAATCATACACGGGTATCGCACACCTGCCTCATTTTCACCTGACTTCCGATATTGACTCATAAGCGCCTGTGTGTGAAAGAGAGATGGTATCCCACTCCGCAGCAGCGGAGCTATTCGCACACTTGCGCTCACAAATTTAACATAGCGTACGCGTTCCAGTTCTGTAGTCTAGTTCAATGGGTTCGCCATCCCTGCACTATAGTATCTGTTTGTAAGTCTGTGGTTCATCTAATGATCTATCTCCATAGATAAGGACTAGACCTCTTTATGATAAATTAATCTAAGCAAAGAGATGATGTTATGTATATAATAATGGCATTGAAGTGGAGGGGAAAACTGGAATGAGCGCGCTTATGGGAAGCTGTTAAAAAAGTTGATCCCAAGTGTTAGACAAGGTCAGACGCTGTGGGGTGGTTATCTGCCTGCGTCGTACTGACGTAAATAGAGGTGTTATTTAGACTGTGTTGTTAATTTTTTTAGTTTTTTAAAGTAATCAGTTGAAATGGTTAAATACTGTTGTAGATGCACAAATGAATGGAGATCCAATGAAAACATAAAATTCCATAAATAAGTATTAATTAGAGATTAAAACAATGAAATATAATTTAACCTGCATTATGGGTACATGTGTACGCGAAAATTTTAATGAAAAATAAGGATAATTACCTTGTTAATTATTAGTATATTAGTTCTACACATATATTTATTTTAAATTTCCACTGAAAAAGTACGCCAAAAAAAGAGACCTCAATAATTGGGCGATAAATGTAACATTAGACATAGCTCACATAAAAAAATATTATTTTATCATTTTTAATTTATTAAAATATTTTATTAACTTAATTACAATACTTTAATTTAATTAGAATAATTTAGTTAATTAAAATTAGAACTTTTTCGGATTAATTGTATTGTTTTGTTTGTACTAGGTCACAATAAAAATTATTTCTAATGAATTTATTGCTTTTTAACAAATTTTAAAATACGCCAATAATTTGTTAATAATTTCTGCGATAAAGATACCGCACGGCAATGTAAAATCATACACGGGTATCGCACACCTGCCTCATTTTCACCTGACTTCCGCTATTGACTCATAAGCGCCTGTGTGTGAAAGAGAGATGGTATCCCACTCCGCAGCAGCGGAGCTATTCGCACACTTGCCCTCACAAATTTAACATAGCGTACGCGTTCCAGTATCTGTAGTCTAGTTCAATGAATAATGGACGTGCCTTAGCTGTATGTCTATGGTTGTAATATTATCTTGGCTGGAAAAGAGTGAGGGAGATAACGTATGGTTTCCGACTAGTGCTATCTCTTTCTTGACACGCTTACGCACTATTGTGAGAGAGATGGATATTGTCCGAAACTTCGTTCCATCTCTTTTTTCTGTTGTACCACAATTCTGACCGCTAGTATATTCTTGTCTATGGTTTTTACTGTCTTGTGTATTTTATATGTATGTTCTATGATGTATGTTATTGTCTATGGTGTTTACTATTTTTTTGTTTTTCCGTGAATAGCATGAAAAGAGGATATAAATAACCAATAGTAAATTTGATAAAATTGATAAATGCCATAAATCAAATGAATAAAGCAATTAAGCAACATAAAGCTTATGAGGTTAGGTTCAAAGATCGATGTCTGAATTAAATTTATACTCGAAATCAATTAAAATACATGCAGGTTTTAAAGTTGTTATCCTTGTTGATTATACATAGAGAAAATCAGTTGGACAAAAATCAACGTAAAAGTATTCTATTATACGTAATAAATTTGTATCCAAAAGGTTAGAGTATAATTTATTGGTCTTTCGAGTAAATTGTAATTAAATCTATTAATAATGAATAACATAAGTGTTGATTATGCTACTACTGTGCAGCAATTAAGACTATCTTTCCAAAGTGGTAAAACATTGCCATTGCAATTCAGGATTAAACAGTTGAAAGCATTTAAACGCCTTTATGAAGAAAATTTGAATGATATCCTTAATGCTCTTGCTGAAGATTTACGTAAGAGTAAACAAGAATCATTAGTTTTGGAAGTGAACCTGAATGTTAGTGATATTGAATATGCATTGGCTAACATACAAAACTGGGTTAAACCCAATAGAGTTAGTAAAACTATGGCAACAATTTTTGATGATTTGTACATTTGTAATGATCCATATGGAGTTGTTCTCGTTATTGGCGCTTGGAATTATCCATTTCATTTAACACTTTCACCAGTTACAGGGGCAATTGCAGCTGGCAATTGTGTTATTATTAAGCCATCAGAAATTAGCCAGAAAAGTTCCAATTTAATGGCGAAACTAATTCCAAAATATCTGGATAATGATTGTTATCGTGTATGTGAAGGAGGCGCAGAAGTTGCAGCTGGGTTTTTGGAACAAAGACTTGACCATGTATTTTTTACTGGTTCAACTAAAGTAGGCAAATTAGTTCATACGGCTTGCAATAAGTACTTAACCCCTACTACATTGGAGCTAGGTGGCAAAAGTCCTGTTTACCTCGATAAAACTGTCAATTTGGAAATTGCAACAAGACGAATCTTATGGGGCAAATGGATAAATGCTGGTCAAACTTGTGTTGCTCCTGATTATCTGTTATGTACTAAAGAAGTAGAAAAAATATTTATAGAAACAGCCAGAAAGGTTTTGAAGCAGTGGTATAAAACAGATTCCAGATCTTCTCCTGATTTCTGTAGAATAGTCAGTGAAGCACATTATAATCGTTTGATAAACTTTTTAAAATCAGGAACAGTTGCTTTGGGAGGCAATACACATTCTGCAGAAAGATTTATTGAGTTAACAATATTAACGGATCTTAATGAGAGTGACTTAATTATGCAAGAAGAAATTTTTGGCCCTATTCTACCTATAGTAAATGTAGACAATGCTTATGAAGCAATTAAATTTATTAATAACAGAGAAAAACCTCTTGCTATGTACATATTTTCTAATGATAATGATGTAGTTACACTTTTTCAAAAACACACTTCCTCTGGTGGGATGTGCATTAATGAAACTGTAATGCATTTGGCTGTTAAAACCCTTCCGTTCGGTGGTGTTGGTCAAAGTGGAATGGGATCTTATCATGGTAAACAAAGTTTTGACACTTTCACACATAAAAAGAGTTGCTTGCACAAGGGTTACAATAAAATAGAGGAAGTGTTAGGATCAGGTAGATACCCTCCGTATACCTCTGGAAAGTTGAATTTTCTCACTACTCTGTTAAAGGAGTGGTATATACCTCGTTCAAAGTATCTTCCTTATCTGTTGGCTTTTTCTCTAGGATATGTATGTTCTTTAATAAACAAAAAGTTTGTAAATCGCAATTAGGCATATCAATTGAAAAATGATTAACTATTTAAAATACTTTTAATACACAGATGTTATAATTGTAAATATTTTAATTGTTATCATTTTTTGAAAAAGCAGGTTCTTTAAATATAACGTAACATATATTTTGATGTTAATACCAAGAAATTAATGAATTAATACTAGATCCTATGAAATGTTTGCTATTTCTCATTCATAGAAATTTTTTACAATTATTAGTATTATAAATAATTATTGCTAGTTTTATCCCTATTATTTAGAGGTGTTGGATAAGTAAATTGGTAAAAGGTTGTATAGTTTTGTAGAAAAAATGTTATAATTTGTACTGACAATTTCAGGAGTGTAATTCTACATATACGTATGACAGATATTTGCAAAGAAATAGTGTCACAAAGAAAAGCATTATTACATATATTAGCAATAAGTTTCTTATTTTGATGTTCATTAATTAGGTGATTTGATTGCAATAGTCTTTTACTGTACGTACTAAACGTTGATAACACTACAGTTATTTAAATAAATTTAAGTATTTCAGAGTAATTTATTTTTAAGGGACTGATGTAAATGTAATTCTGTAATTTTTGTAAGAAATAAATTATACTGATAAATTGAAATTTATTGCCCAACTACATCAAAAAATGATGCATTTCATAAAAAGCTTCTTTATAACTTTTACTGAATACATTCAACTAACAATGAATCAGTAAAAATATTGAAAGGTTTCTATAAAATAAAAAGCACTTTTAACTTACTATATATTTACCATCTCGAAGAATTTAAATTATAATTTATTAATTTAATGCACTTATATGTATACCTACAATATCTTTTTTATTGAATTAAACTTTAAATAAAGATACTTCCTAGTTACCAATATACTTCTTAAATGTCAGCTAAGACAATATGCAATATATATTTTTAAATAAACTGATAAACTTAACAATTTATAAAAACTAAATGAAAAAGTTATGAAAACTACATGTCACACTGTTTAAAAATAAGAGATTTTTGTCCACAAGTATTTTATTTTTGAACCAATACAAGTATTTGGTTGTCTTTGAAATTGAAAATTAAAAATCAATTAACCAGGTGGTACACATATCAATTGAAATACACAAATTAATTTTTTTACCTCTTCATTTTAACGTTTACCATTGTTAAAATTTAAGGTTCTAATAGGGGCTTTGAAGGTAGATGCAGCCTGCTGTTGTAGTTGATAAGCTAGAGGGTGGATTTTAAATCCATATAGTCTGGGCACAAACTGATTACTGGGACGTTTAGGTCTGTATTCTGGATGAACCATAAATAACATATGTGGAAAACCGGTACCAAAGTATGCCCCATCAGTGTGATGATGACGCGATGATTTTGGCGTGTAAACGTCCATACATTTAGGGCAATACAGTTTCACCATTGCTTCTCCAGGAACATCTGATAGTCCTAAAGGCAACATTGGCTGTGATTCACAATAAACCCGCGGACAGTGGCCGAATTCTCCTGCTTGATACTTCTCGATCATTTGCGCAATGCCTCTGTTTGTTAAAATGTATCTAGCATGTATTAGCCCATAAAGCATTTCGGCAGCCTGTTCTATTAAATCAGATTGATTGGGATTATCATCTAATTCATCATCGGGTTCTAAATCCAAAATCATATCCAGAGCTTGCCTATAGTGAGGTACTTGCTCATTTAATCCAGTTAGGTTGAATTTGTCTTGGATGTAATCTTCATCAACTTCACAAAAAAATTCATTTCCTCTTAATCCGCAGAACCAAGAAATCCACGATACTTCTTCAGAGCTGCTCATTTTCCTTTTTGTACCTTTATTAGCCACGCTTAAGCTACAACATTTACGGCTGCTAGGAAAAAAAGAAGGAACGGAAGAAAATACACTTTTTGGTTAGATATCTTGTAATCTTTCCCGTTTTTCTATTGGATAATTTCCAAGTTCCAATTTCTCCAATTAGAGTAATAATTTATTAGCAAGGTAAGCGTATATTCGTTTTGTTTTACGAATACACAAAATTAAATTAAACTTTAAAATGAAACAAACTAACAATTTTAATTAATGAATAATTTATAATTTGTGTTCGTTCTCTCTGATGGGAGAACTCAGTACAAAGCAGACTATAATATTTATTGCTTCATAGATACTTTGATATGGGTTGTTATTTTGGTATGTTTTGGTAGTTGGGTAGTTGGATACTTTGGATAATATGATATGCGTACATATATATAATAGATTCGATTTTGACAAGTCTAANAAACGCGAACTTTGAAATTAAATATCTCTGAAACTATATTGTCCAATAATTTCAGTCTGCACATATAGGTGAAGAATAACTTAAATAATATTCTGCCAAAATTTCAAAAGAATCCTAAGAAAACGCTTTTCATGGACATTTCAACAGTTTTAAAATAAAAAACAATAATGTCATATTCAATTTCGAACAACTGGTTTTTGACTAAACGTACTTTAAGTCACGCTACTAATCAGTATGCTTCGAATAAATTCAATTTTTTATTTTAACATGGAAAGCATAATTGACTAATTGTAAAACTGTTTGGCTCTTTCTCATATAGGTAGTGAAATTTTAAACAGTTGACAGTTTATACAAAGAAAAAACCGCAGTGGCTGTTGAACAATTAATTTTCTATTTGCATTTTTAGCGTTAGCCTAAAGCTGCATGTGTATTATTCGAACAAGTACGTATGATTTCGAAAGATTATATATTATTTTACACAATAATATTTATAAGGTAAGTACTCAATAAGTACACATTTATAAAATAACTTTGTGCTTTCAATTTGAAGGCGTCATTTGTACAGGGTGTCTCACGGCCATATTTAAAAGTGAATAGGGATCCGAAAAAATGATAAAATTTTAAAAAAATCATAAAGTTGCCAATTTGTCATTTCACGAGCTAAGCTGGCAGGAATTTCTCTAATGCTTTATGGGACACTTTTATAAAACAATAACTGGCTAAAATCAACCATCTGTCTTGACAAAATCTTTCCTTGACAAAAATTTCAGGTGAAGATTTAAATGTGTGAACAAATATATATCTTGGATTCTTTCTGGGTTATTATTGAAACTAATTACTAGTCAGTTTCAACAAGTAAAAATTAATACATTCGAAATTTTTTAGTTTTTAGTAGATTTTAATAATATTCTGGAAATATATTTGTTTTCTGCAGGTTTTATTTTATTTTATAACAGTGACTCGTTAATTAGTTAATAGAGGAATTTACTTCTCAAAAACAGAATTGCATATTCTATTTAAAATAGACGAGTTTAATTGGGAATGCAGAAATTAACAATGCAAACATTCAAGTATCAAATTTTTTTTTATTCTCTAAGTGTCTTTTAGTCCTTAGGCCATCGTGGGACATCCTGCAGTTCTAATTGCGTTAATGTTAATTAAATATTACATCAAAATCTTTTGAAAAATGAATCGCTACAAAATATCAAAAGAAAATAAATAATCTACATCAACAAGTTCCAAATGGTAAAAATTTGAATTTTAACTTAATAGAAATTGAAATAAGAATCTACACAGTGCGTGTTATGTTAAATCACATACTGTCTAATATAGATACATGTTTGAATTTTAAATTACAAAAAGTGCTGTTTTCCTATTTTTAAGTTAAAAAAAATTTATAATTTGTGTTCGTTCTCTCTGATGGGAGAACTCAGTACAAAGCAGACTATAATATTTATTGCTTCATAGATACTTTGATATGGGTTGTTATTTTGGTATGTTTTGGTAGTTGGGTAGTTGGATACTTTGGATAATATGATATGCGTACATATATATAATAGATTCGATTTTGACAAGTCTAAGAGAGGTTAAAGATGAAGTTTGATTTTTTAAAAAATATGTATCATTTTATAAAAAGTCGCAACTATTTAAAGTGACTGAAATGAACTTAGGACCAACAAATTCATTTGGAAATTGTTTACTGTATGCCGGTTTCAATCAAGATCAAGGTTATTATAAAAAGCATTTTTTAGAAAAAAATCACTAAAAAATATTTTTTAGGATGTTTTGCTTGTGCAACAACTTCTGGATTTAGAGTTTATAGTTGTGATCCTTTAAAAGAAAAAGAAAAACAGGATTTTGAAGATGGGGGTTTGGGATATGTGGAAATGTTGTTCCGTTGTAATTATTTAGCATTAATTGGAGGAGGAATGAAACCGTTATTTCCTACAAACAGGGTTATAATATGGGACGATCTAAAGAAAAATATACCAATTTCGTTAGATTTTAATGCACCAGTCCTTGCAGTAAAGTTAAGGAGAGATAGAATAGTCGTTGTTTTAGGTTAGAATACGAATATTATTGGAATTTTTTTTTAATTGTTTTATTTTGTGTTGTAGAAGGTGTAATTAAAGTTTATACATTTACACAGAATCCTCAACAGTTACATGTTTTTGAAACAAATTGTAACTCAAAAGGTTTGTGTGTACTTTGTCCAAACAGTAACAATTCTTTGTTAGCTTATCCAGGCAGAAAAATTGGTAATGTACAATTAGTTGACTTAGCAAATACAGAGAAACCACCTTTAGATATTATTGCACATGAGGCAAATCTTAGTTGCATAGCACTGAATTTACAAGGTACAAGACTTGCCACAGCAAGTGAAAAAGGAACATTAATTAGAGTTTTCAATACCAGTAATGGAGATAAAGTTGCAGAGCTGAGACGTGGAGCTCATCAGGCATGTGTTAAAATTTAAATGCTTTCCTTAAAATAATTTTAATTTATTTTCAGTTCAGTTTGGTTTTCTACAGATTTTAAAATTGAGTTAAATTTATTTAATAATATTGCTTCTTTAATTATAATTTATCGATTATTTTTAACTTTTTTAGGCTACTATTTATTGTATTAACTTCAATCATACTTCAACTTGCCTTTGTGTAGCATCAGATCATGGAACTGTACACGTTTTTGCCCTGGATGATCAGAAATTAAATAAGCACTCGTCATTAGCCAATGCATCATTTTTACCAAAATATTTTTCATCAAACTGGTCATTTTGCAAGTTTACCATACCAAATGGCCCACCTTGTATTTGTGCTTTTGGAACCGATAATAATTCAATTATAGGTAAAATTGAAATACTTATAGAGCAGATTATATCATTAATTATTAGTTCAGATACTGCGTTTTATTCTCACTAGTAAATAAGTTCCAAAAAATTTACTGGACAGATTCAAATGAAAAATTTTATTACTATCTTTGCAACATTAGATGAATAACAAATTGAAATTCAATTCTCTTTCAAAAAAGTTGGGAGGGAACTTCATTGCTTTTTTATAAATCATTGCCACATATGCCAAATTAAAATACAAAATCACTTTTATGGGTGGATAACAGTGTATTAAGTAATGCATGCAAGTCAAAAAATATTGTTTATTGATGCTCAGCTTGTGAGGAAAGAATTATTTTACAAATTCCACGATGTATTTGATTTATTTTAACTATTTTACTAAAACTATAGGTTTTCTAATATTTATAATTATTTTTAGTAATTTGTGCCGATGGGTGTTATTATAAATTTGTTTTCAATAACAAAGGAGAATGTACAAGAGATGTTAGCGCTCAGTTTTTAGAAATGACTGATGACCGTACAGAAACTGCTTCTTTAACATAATTATTATTTTTTGTCCATATGTTGCTAGTAGGTATTTGTTTATATAAGTTATTATCAAATGTAAATTTTGAGTAAAATTAACTTCATTTATTAATTGTGAATGACAGTTAATTCTGTAATTTTTATTATAAAATAAATATTGTCTTTTTCTATTTTTTGTAGGCATTCCTTATTTCTTTAATTATACATTTATATTTCGTGATATAGACGTGAAATATAAATATGTACAAATATTTATTTTTACCTTTAACATTTATACCTGAATTCATAAAAATTGTATGATTAGTTTGTTCATAAAATTATTGTGTCATTACTTAATTTGGTTGAGGGNAAATCTATAAAGTCGTCATTAGGCGTAAAGTGTATTCCTTACATTACTCTGATTGTTAATGACAATAACGATTTCTAATGAAAAATAATTGCAAATATTTATTACTGTATAACAGTGCCTTTTCTAGGTACATGTTGCCTCGTTAGTATTAAAAAGACGTTTATATTATTTCCTTTTTCTCTTTAGTTGTTGCGGTAGGACTTATTGTATGTGTATATCCTCCATAAGCCTGAATTACAGTTGTAGTTAATCTTGGATAATGAGTACTACATCTGGTACTTGTTAAGTGAGTGTAATATATAAGAATAATGTACCAAAGTTTCACAAATATCGTCAAAATGGTCAAACTAATTGCTGTAAAAGAATAAATAGTTTAGCCTTAAATGGTTTTATAGAATGAAACGAGAATGCAAATTTTTGTTATAATTATTGTCCTAAATCAATCGTTGAACCACGTGCCATTTAGAGTGCAGATTTTAATTGTTTTCCTGTTTGAATTTTTGTTTTATTTTCGTCATATCTATCATCATCATAAGGAAGTCAGTTCTAAGACTGGTTTGACATGCACCTTCACTCTTTCCTAGTAAAGTGATAAAGCCAAAGAGTGTAACTCATAATGTCAGAACTAACTGTGTAATGTAAAATAACAACGTAATGTTCTTGTGATGCAGATTAGCGTAACGACCTATCGTACGTTACGTGTCTTAATTATATTGTTTTAGAGCATAACAACTTGTCCAACAAGCGACTTGGCAGATACGGATATAAGTACTATTCATCATCATAAGGTCGTCAGTCCTAAGACTGGTTGGACACGAACCTTCACTTTCACCTATCCTGAACTAAGCTTCATATTTCCCTAAAACTAAAACAACCCACATCCTATTTGCGAGCAGTAAGCTAATCTAGGTCTATCTCTTATCCTCTTAATTCCTGCTTCAACCTCTAATATGTCTTTGACTAGACCTTCATGTCTGAGAAGGTGTCCTACCAACTGATCTCGTCTATTTCTTATTGACTTGATTAATACCTCTTTATTTCTACCTCCTATATCCACAGTATCCTCATGTTTCTTCTGCAACATCACATTTCGAACGCTTCTAATTTTTTCTTTTCCGCACGTCCACTGCCCATGTTTCGCACCCGTACAGCGTCGTGCTCCAAACAGCGTTTCTCTAATTTCTAAATTATCCGTTCGCGAGCATAGAAGTGACTTCTTTTTATTGAAGGCGACTCGACCCTGCGCTATTCTCTGCTTTATATCTCTACTAGTCCTTCCGTCCTGACTTCCTAGGTACCTAAAATCGACCACTTCTAATTTTTCGTCTCCTATCCTTATATTCGCTCTTTCCCTACTTTTTCTTCCTTTGCATACCAGTATTTTGTTTTACTTTTATTTATTTTCATAAAGTACTGTTTTGTCAATACCGCACCCATTTTATTTAAAGCTACCTCTAACTCCTCCTTGCTAGATGTTAATACTACTATATCAACTGCAAATCTAAGCATACGAATTTTTGACTCTGTATATCTATCCCTACGGTTGTACTGTCTTTAATGATGTTGATCGCGTTTTCGATGTATAGATTAGAAAGTAGCGGTGACAGTGTGCATCCCTGTCTGATTCCCTTCCTAATTTTTACTTCTCTACGTTGCTCTTTATACAAACTAAATATCTCTTCCATCTTTGTAACTCATCCCTACATTGTTGAGTATATTTAATATCTTGTCCTATTTAACATTGTCAAAAGCTTTTTCTACATCTACAAATCCTATGTAGGCCCTCTTTCCTTTTNAAATATTTATTTTTACCTTTAACATTTATACCTGAATTCATAAAAATTGTATGATTAGTTTGTTCATAAAATTATTGTGTCATTACTTAATTTGGTTGAGGGTTGATAAAGTATTGCAAATGTATAATTTATATTAACCATTGCTTTTGTAATAATAAGTAAAGAAAATAATTCGTATCAATTCAGTATCCATTTTTAAGATTAATGAAGATACCTACTACTGACTAATACATTTATTACAAAAGTGATGGAAAGCATACCCACTACTCATTACTAGAGTAATGAAATGAAAATGTAGATATTACGAAAAGTAAAACAAAGATACTGGTATGCAAGCGAAGAAAACGTAGAGAAAGAGCGATAAAGATAGGGAACGAAAAATTAGAAGAAGTGGCCGATTTTAAGTATCTAGGAAGTAAGATAAGTCAGGACGGAAGGAGTAGTAAGGATTTAAAGCAGAGGATAGCGCAGGGTCGAGTCGCCTAAAATAAAAAGAAGTCACTTCTCTGCTCGCGAACGGTTAACTTAGATATTCGAAAAAGGTTTGGTTTGTATGTTTGGAGCACGACGCTGTAAGGGTGCGAAACATGGACGGTGGGCGCAGCGGAAAAGAAAAGGTTAGAAGCGTTCGAAATGTGTTACAGGCGAATGATGAGGATACCGTGGATAAAGAAGGTTAGGAATGAAGAGGTATTAGAAAGAGTAAGAAAACCAAGGACTCTATGGAAGTCAATAACAAAAAGGCCAGGTATGATTTGTTCTAGTTTTAGGGAAATGCGAAGATTAGCTTAGGATAGGAAAGAAAGGAGGTGCGTGTCTAACCAGGATTGACGACCTTATGATGATGGTGAATGTATTATTCGCAACTCCGATTTGAATGGGATTGCAATTAAACCTTTCAATAGCTGCTAGCTTTTACACCTTCATCCATAACACTTTCAATCATTCATTCCCACCTAAAAAAGTGTTCTACAAGATTAGACCTATCACTTTTTCCTCTTCTCCCGCTGTCCGATCGATGGCCACCTCATCTATCAATACATATTTGCACAGATATAAGGGAAAAATAAGGCTTCAAATAAAATTTTGTTAAAGCTTCTTTTGATTAATTGGTAAATTAATTTTTCATTTAATACATTATTATATCGAAAAAATTAAAAATTAGCAATTCTGGCACAGGCGTATTTTACAAGATGCTATAAGAGAATGGGTTGATGCAATAGTAAATACATGTGATTGAAAATAAAATGCATGGAACAGAACGACCAAATTGAAAGTTCAAGGGGGTCAACTGCTAAAAACTGAAATGCATTGATGAATGTGATAAATAACCGGTCCATAAAAGAAAGAACTGTAACTAATAAAAATAGGTATTTGCGGTAAAACTTTGGTATCTATGCGTCAAACTTGTTTTCAGAATTATTAGTAGGTGTGCAATTTTGTTTGCCTTCTTCGCAATTAATGCTCAGCAACATATGCAACAAAGAATAAAAGTTGACATGGTTATTACTCAATTTCAATGAGAAAATTAGCTAATCAGACCAATCGGCCATGTCCCTGATGTAAATGAATAATGAATAAAATAAGAGTATACTGATTGTTCTGAAATTGGCATTATTAAATCGTCTGTAATTGTTTCATTAAAATATTTATTTATAGGAAATAAAAGAATGGTTAATGTAATATAAATTTTATTTGGAAGTTTTAGCAAATACAATATATGTATATATATATTTTTAGCGGTTAGGGGCTGTCCATAAACCACATGGCTCTATTTCAGCAAATTTTGTATCACCTTTCTCACCATAGTTTTATAACTGATGTCCCCCCCCTCTCTTTATTGACATGATCTTTTTAACACTTGGGTTATTAGAAATAAAGTTTTATTCACGCCTTTCTTCTTCTTCAGTGGTGTGCACTGTTTATGATGCGGTTAAAGGTTGGCTTACCTACTTTTAAAGCAGGACAAAGCCCTCATCAAATAAAAGTCCAACCCCTGAGAACAAAGGCCATACCTACTAAAGTAAAGTTAAAGTATTTTGGTCCTTGAATCCTTGTTAATTATATTTTAAAATCCAAAGATCCAATAATTATCGATTAAGTACTTCTAAATGTAGATTTCAATGACATAAGTATTTCAAAAGAGCTTTAAACACTTTGAATGAGCTTCAAGCCCTATGAAATACAAAGCATATAAAGTCAGTACAATCCCGATTACCTGGGTTTTTAATTGCATTTTATTGAGATTGTTTGTTTTGGCGGCGGATTTATGAATAAAAATATTAGAATTAAAAAAAAAAATAATACATATAGTTTTCTTTTTAATAAAAAAAGTCTACTTTTCTTGTTCAGAATGATTTTTTACAAGACTTCGTCTCTCCTTATAGAGCCATATGCTTTGTGGGTAACCTATTCTAAACTTTAAAATTAAAAGAGATTTAAAATAAAACACAATTATTTTAAAACTAGAAATAACTCTTACTTTTTTGAATATATAGAAGTGATATCACATTAGTTTTTATTACATTAGTCAATACAACCTTTTTGCTGTTAGGGAAAATATTAGAAAAGATTGGCATGAATTCAGTCCCAAAGGGCGCGTTTCACATCATTTGGTAGGTCATGAGTAGAGGAACACCATAAGAGGTGTTTTTTTTTTTTAAATTTCATATATTAGTCTATTTTAGAATAGATTAATAATATGGGTTAGATTAAGGTAGGTTATGTTTTGGTTAGGTTAGACTATGCATCCTTCTGTGACATTAGATCCTTTGAACGACATATTAGTAAGTTAGGATAGGTTTGGCTAGGCTATCTCTTTTACATGTTAAGCCTTTACTTGACCCTGACTCGATCGAATTATATAAAGAAGTTAGATACTGTCTGGAATGGTTTGGTATGACTATTGAATCCAAATTCTAAATTATCACAAAACTTATTTAAATTCCAAATTTGCTTCTGGAAACAAGTCTGGCATTTTTTTTTGAGGAAACTTGTGGTTTTGTGGTAAATATGCCCACCATGAACATTACCCCTGGGATTATACCGCGGTAAGGGTGTTAGCCGTGAGATGCTAAGTTTTTAGTAAGTAAATCACCCTGCGGGAGTCTTATACTACCGGTTATTATTGTGCGGCCGGTGCATTTCTTTGTCTTAATAGTAAAAAAAAACCTGTTAGGTAAAGTTGGGTCGGACATTAAAACTCTTATTGTGTTCCCTTCCAGGTGGACTTTCACATTATATAGCATTGCCCCCTGACAAAAAATTAATTTTTTATGAATCTCCTTACCCCTAAATTTGTAAATATAATTTTATCTTGAATTTAATTTTTTGCTTAAAATTTGGTTTAACTAATTCAATTGTGCACTCTACCTATCTATCCTCTTGATTTTAATATTTATAGACATGTGTTGTTAATAATGTTTAAGAGCAAAACAGTTTTTGTTTCTGTCGAAAATGTTTTTAACAAGAAACATTTCGTTTATAAGAAACTGAAAATGTTTCGGACGGTTTCATTTAGGATAAGGTTTCGGCTAATGACCATGAATGTATGGAGACTAGTTTTCTGTAATAGGGGGAGATGAAAAAATAATTCAGAAATTTTACAAGTGTAAATTCTGCCTATTTTGATTATTTATTCGAACTAATCTTAAAAAATTAAAATAATAATATTCTGCGTATTTTAAGGAAGTTGTTTCACGACATTACTAGTAAAAAGTTTATGCTAGAGTGTATCGTACAGTCAGTTAGTAGCCGTGATACCTAAGCCTAAAACTTTTTGCTGTTACTGCACTATTCCCAGCCAATCCCGTACCGCTCTTCATTCGTGTATCCCTTCTACTACTTGAGTGCGATAAATTGTTCGTTATTTATTAATTAATATCTCAGAAACTGTGTTGTAATAATTAATCAAACTTTTTTCAAAGAAGTTATTAGACATTGTTTAATCTTTCTGTAGTTTTTTAAAACATTTGTAAGAAGGGATTCCAAGTTAACATTGTATTTCTAGTTAGCCTCGCCGGTATCCTGTATAGTACAATGTATAAGAGCCGCAAAAACGCGAACTTTGAAATTAAATATCTCTGAAACTATATTGTCCAATAATTTCAGTCTGCACATATAGGTGAAGAATAACTTAAATAATATTCTGTCAAAATTTCAAAAGAATCCTAAGAAAACGCTTTTCATGGAACAACTACCTTAACA